AACTACTTATGTATTACACAGTAATTTGGGGCTCCACCTCTCTCTGACCTTCCTAATCTGTGGGAAATGGGAATAATAATGTAATAGTACCTAACTCACAGGGTTGCTGTGTGAAAGGATTATCTCTGATGCCAACGTCATATAGCATCTGCCCCATACAGTTATAACAAGGATTAAATGAGTTAACAATTAAGTGCTCAGCACAGTGACAAGCACATGTGGCACTCAGAGAATGCTATTGTCTTCTCATCCACAATTTGTGGGCTCTATGGCCTTGGGCAGAGCCTTTGAGTTTCAGTTTCCACATCTTTAGAAGGAGAGTAACAACAGCACCCTGCAATAGGGTTGTGGTAACCAATTGAACACAACATTCCATATAAAAGCTCTCTGTTTTGTCTTGTACACTAAAAGCATTCAATAAAGATTAGATTTTAAAACAAATCTTACTCAGTATTATTAAAATAACATTTTGTTTGAATCAAAGCATTCAATATTAACTTTCTTAGATAAAAAAATTAATGTTCAAGGCGGTGCCTGTGGCTCAAAGGAGTAGGGCGCTGGCCCCATATGCCGGAGGTGGAGGGTTCAAACCCAGCCCCGGCCAAAAAAAAAAAAAATTAATGTTCACACAAATACAAATATGTACAAAAAATTCTTACACATAACATTTATTTTCAATTACTTTGGTGTTTTTAGGCATTATCAAGCCGGCAAGTTTCCAATCCTCTTGCTGATATTGATAACGTGTATTTCTGTCAAAGAATCACGAAAGACAGAAATAAAAACCAACATGTATTGCATATTCACAACATACCAGGAACTTTTCTAAGTGCTTTATAAACGTTAACATACTCAATCCTCACAACAACCCAATAGGATAGCTTCTCTTTTACAGATGAGCAAACCTGAAACAAAGAGTTCTACTTCAGGTATACTGTACTTGAAACAGAGACCAATTGCCCATTTTATTTGTGGAATCTGCTATGAAAGATAGCATATAGTGAATTAGTAGATATGAATTTCTTAAAGAAAACAAAATAAAAATATTTTTGCAGAAAACCTGGGAGAGTTCTTATGTATTTTTTAATATTGTATTTCTAAACCTGCACTAATACAACAGTCACCAGCTACATGTGACTACTGAGCATATGAAATGTGGCTAGTACAAATTGAAATGAACTGTTAAGTGTAAAACAGTTCTGAATTTAATATGAAAAAATATAAAATATCACATTAAGTTGGATGTGGTGGCTCACGCCTGTGATCAAAGCACTTTGAAAGGCTGAAGCAAGAGGGTACCCAGAGGCCAGGAGTTCAAGACCAACCTTAGATCCCATCTCTACAAAAGAATTAAAAAACTCTTGTAATCCCAGCTACTGAGGAGGCAGGAGGAGCTCTTCAGCATAAGCATTTGAGGTTGTAGTGAGCCTTGATGATGCCACTGCATTCTAGCCCAGAGAACATACTGAGACACTGTCTCAAAAACAAACAAGAACAAATTTTAAAACTCTAATAATTTTTATATTGATCACACATAAAATGATAATATATGGATATACTGGGTTAAATGAAATTAATTTTGGATATACTGGGTTAAACTAAAATTAATTAGTTTTTTTATTTTTACTTTTTTTAAATGAAGCTACTAGAAAATTTTAAATTACATACGCAGCCAACATTGTGTATATATTAGACAGCTGCTTTAGGGGCAGGGGCGGAGAGAGTAGTAACAGAAAATTATTATCAAAGTTCTTTTTCCAATCAATATAAGCTTAAGTCTGTCAAAGTAGAAGTATAGAATGGAAGACTGTCATTCTCATTCTCTGTGTGTGTGTGTGTGCACGCGTGCGCGTCTATAATATCGCACATATACACACAGAGTTCACAGGACCAAAGAAACAAGCTACACTAACACTTCACTATACTTGACACACAAGATCATTTTATGACCAAGCAAACACTTCAAGTAATACTAATCTCTATGGATGAGAGAAGGAAAGCAAATCTAAGGGGAAATAATAGGCATAGGAAAAGTTTTCCTATTTTCTTTTAAACTGAAATCATAAAGGTTCCTTTACTCAGAAAAGATCTAACCACTTAGTTTCAGGGTTATAATATATATACCAAGTCTATGTGGTGAGCAAAATTTAAATTTCCTGATGGCTTAACTGGAAGACTATTAAAATATCTGATGCTTAATATCTGGTATCTTGAAGAAAATATCCAGTTTATAGATACCTGTCATATTGTTTTGATCAATTTTATACATCAAACGTGAGGCCTTTAACTGATTCTTCTAAATGGATGCCGGTCCACTATGTAAGAGAAAATTACTCCATAAAGTTTACATCAGATATCTGGAAAAGTCACATTTATAGTCATGGCTACTATCAGCTGTCAAGCCAAAGAATATTGAAGAAAACCGAGAATTTTTAATATATGCTGGTTAATTTATCATCTAAGTGTCATATGTAGGATGAAAAAATTGAAATGGTTAAGTTAAGTTCTACATGTTAAAAGATTCTTTTTATTTTTAATTGCAACTATGACTTCAGGATAAGAAAGCAAGTTAACAGAAACCATAAAAATAGAATTGATAGAGTACACACTAAGATTTCTTTTTTTTTTTTTCCCCTTTCTGAGATTAGTTAAAATGTTTTTTTTGGTTGGGGGGAGGGAGTCTGAGACAGTGTCTCACCCTATAGCCTGAGTAGAGTACCAGGGCTTCAGCCTAACTCACAGCAACCTCAAACTCCTGGGCTTAAGCAATCCTCCTGCCTCAGCCTCTTGAACAGCTGGGACTACAACCAGCATGTGCTACCACACCTGGCTAATTTTTCTATTTTTAGTAGAGGTAGAGTCTTGTTTTGCTCAGGCTGGTCTTGAACTCCTGAGCTCCATGGTTTCTCCCACCTTGGCCTCCTAGAGTCATAGGATTACAGGTGTGGGCCACCACATTGGGCCCTAAATGTTTTTTTTTGTAATGGTAATATATAGATATCTTAGTTTGTCCTAGAAACTGGATAAACCATCTCAGAGTTTCTCAACCTACAAATAGAATATTTGGGGCTTTATAGTGGAGGGACTGTCCTGTGCATTATAGGAGTTTTAGTAGGATCTGTGATGTCTACCCAGTGGATCCCAATAATTTTGATAAGCAAAATGTCTAACACTATAAAATGTCTCTCCCAAGTTGAGAACCACTGGCCTATTCTCACTCAAAATACCTTTCTATTCAATAAAAATTACTTCAGTACTTCTTAAAGTACTATTATTTAGTGTTAGGGGATCTTCCTAGGGTATGCCTAGATAGCATTAGCAGCAAGATCAGTAAACCTACTCATATGCAGAATAGCCTGGATATGTTTTTATGTTAGTATGTACAATGGAATGTTTTCTATACTATAGCTTTTGACAGACCCTAAAGAGTTATCACCAAAATAGCAATTAAAAATGGGTTAAGTGCTTCAGCTCAAATATTCACTATGCCCTAAAGTTGTCTTTCTAGTCTTTCCAAAGATATAAAGATCAAAAATATTATTTTATACATAGCAAATTATTTACCTGTGCTGTCAGTTATTAGGCAAGATTACTATCATTACCCATATAAACCATTCATACAACAAACATTACTGGCTACATTCTATATGCTAAGTACAATGTTAGTATTTGAAAACAAAATTTATATTCCATCTCCCTCACCAAAAACAAAAAAACATTTTAATGTGGCTTAAGAAATACCAATAAAACCTTCCTATTAATTGCATCTGACCAAACATTTTTGCTTATCAAAAGTTTTTAAGATCTAGTTAAAATAATAGTACTTAAAGTCAAAGTGAAGGTAAATAAATAATTTATATTCTTGGTAAAAAATATAAAATAAATCTAAAAGTAAGAAATTTAAAGGACTTAGACATTCATACTAATAAATTATTGTTCAAGCATATTTACCCCCATGTTATTTTTCCTTCTTTGCCTTAAATAAAACAAAGATATACTGAATAACATACTAGCATACTGTGATACTGAATGACAGTATCAGACACTATTATTAGGCCCTGAGGATATAAAGTTGAATAAAAAGTATAAAAGATGACCTAAAAGGAAGTGCTTGGCCTTATGCCTGGAATACAACAAAATCTCAATAAACATTTATGTTCCTTTCCTAGCCTTTCATTCTGTCCTCAAGAAGCTCACAGTCTCACCTCCAATAAATGCTACATATCTTATATTTCTCTTTTGAGTTATTGTTTGGGTGCTATACAATTAAACCTTTGTGATTTAAACTATGTAAGCTAACCAAGTAAACAACAGCTAAATATGTAGAATGTTTGAATAACTATAATCCCATATCCTACATAAATGTATCTTTTTCCAAGCAAACTATCTCCCAGTATCCTATTCTTCCTATAGTTTATGGGGCCACTAATCTTTTTTGGATTACACACTGTGATATACAAGTTGAAGAGCTACTGCATTCCACAAATGGTTTGGGGGATAATAAGTGCTCACATAATCAATAAATAATTTAAGGAGTGGCTAGAGAAGAACTTATCTGCTTCAAGATTACTACAATGGATTAATGCTAGAATGAGTACAATGAGCAAAATGATGCATAAAAATATGTGTTATATAAATATTACAAAGAAATAAGAAAATACTGAGTCCACAAATGAACATATCACCCCAAATATTCACTCCCACCATATCTAGCCAAAAACAAAACTGCTAAAACACAGACTGCACCTAGCACATAAAAAATGATCATTGTAAAAAATGATTTTTACGTTTGTTCTATATACTGACAATTAACTGAATGATATTACATCATAAAATACACTTCAGAGAAAAGCAATGTTATATTAATAATGGTAAATCACACGGAAAAAATCTAAACACATAGTATCAGACTTTCTGGAGGGGGAAAAAACGGCAACTCAAAACAATGCAAATCATCTAGTGGTGGAAAAATTATTATACTACATTATTTACATAGTTACCTGCACAGCAAGAGAAGCAGCATTGTCAGAAAGCAAAATTTGTTCCCCTGTAGAAATACAAGGAAAGGTCTGAGTCCTAAGTGTAACTGTTCAGCAAGTAAAATATAATATTTTTATTTAAAAAAGTATTTCTCTTTTTAAAAAGGAAAGGTATAGCCTATCACTAAAGTATAAATTCTGTAGCAATGCTTTCGGGTAATCAGAATTTCAGTTAAATTATCATTGTGTGTAAATAATAGTAAGATGGACTATTTCCCCCCAAATTACTTAATCATTTATTGCATTTTATCAGCCATATGTAATTAAAATTGCTCATTTAAAATCAAATTCCTTTTTCAAGTTTTCAAGAATATTCCTCTTCCTTTCATTAAAATTAAGTAAACTAGTATGTGCCCAAACCTCTGTAGTTAAAAGTGAAAGCATTCACAATCATATAAAACCAGCTTGCAGTTAATATTGCACAGTGTGTCTAGGTCTGTCACACAAAAGAAAGATGACAAGTTCTCTGCAATAAAAATTCCATGCTTAGAAGACTAGGGCTGCTGCCTATTAGTCTTCATTACTTTGCAGTCTTCTGACAACTGTAGCAGGCTGCTGAGCCCCAAATGGGGTCCATAATGTGATCTGATGATATATGAAGAGCTGCTAAAGGGAGCCTGAACCATCCTAGCCTATACATTTTAACAGTTCCTTTTTACTGAGAGCCCACTTTACCACAGGACTTCAAAAATCTGCTGTCTCAGCTATTGGAGCAGTAAATCTGCCAACTGCTCCTGCAACCACATCATTTTACACTGCCTACAGCAGCCAATATAATGAGTCAATAATAAACTAAGGACCTTATAGGCCATGAATAGTGGGGTTTACACTGGCAGATACAAGTTTAGGTAAAACCTCCTAGACAAATTAGACAAGGAAATCCCTTTTTTAAGTTTAAAGTTCTCTTTGCAGTAAATTATGTTTTTGTGGGATTATTTGGCAATAAATGTATTTTGATACAAAGCCATTTCAATTATAAACAAGAACCTACCTTTCAGTTGCTGATACAATGTAGCATTTTCAGGCCAAGGTTCTGTAGCTTTAGAAACAAGGCATGATAATTAGGCACACAGGGTAAAACATATCAATAACCAAACAAATTAATAAGGATGTACATTTGTCTAGAGCATTTAAAGTCAATTGCTAAGGTTATCTTAAATACAGCAACTAATCACACCATTTTAGATTCTATGGTAAGCTGTGTAAGCAGGTTAGGATAACTTGTTTTAAATGCGTGTTTGGTTTATTGTTTGGGAATAGTTTGTCATTTTATGTTTTTTATATTGTTTATAGAGGGAAAATAGGTATCTTGCCTAGTCAAAATTAGAATTTAAAAATAAAGTAGTCTATATGTTACAATTTCCTTTAGCCTCCTTCAAACATAGACATGTCCAAATATTATTTATACATATAAAAAGATACTACTGTTTGATTCATACAAAAAAGATAGTGAAACAATATTTATATTTTACCATAAACTTTTAACAAAGTAAAACTTCTAATATATTATAGGAAATAATCAAATATATTTGCATCAGGCTATCCATTTTCCTTATAGACTGGTAGTATTTAAAAATACAGAAGAATACTATTGTATTCTAGAACATTTCATTGCCTTGACCCCCTCCCCCCAACCACACACACACATAAAGCAAAGTAGCCTGAGGAAGTATTAAGTACTTGTTAGGTAAAATAAAGCCAGTAAAGCTAATCTTAGGCTGAAAGTGAAACTTGACCTTGACCCTTAATCTCTCATCTAGAGAAAATTCCAGCTACAAAGAGAATATCAGTAACCTATCAGGGCTTGGGAAAAGCACTAGACTTGAATTTTGTCCAATCAATTGCACTTAAGAAGCAACGCCTCCACTGACTTAATATACAAGATAACAAGATCTCATTTGTGGGATTCTTCTCTGTAAAAGGCATAAAACATCAGAATCACCAATTCTAATATGTAGTATAGTAACTATACTTACTATCAGCAAGAAAGCAAATTAGCTAGAAGAGATTTGATAGCAATTGGTATTTGTTATTGTGTTTAAACTACTATAATCTCTGTGACATAGCAACAAATAATTTTTTATAAATAATTCTGATGATTTTTAAAAATAAATTTATACATGTGTAATATTTTTTTCTTAAGACTGAGCATTTAAAATGCACTAAAACAGTGCCTGGGCTGGTGAAGAAAATCCCTTAATTTGCTTTTGCTTTTGAATAAAAAGAAAAACACACAAAAAAAGAGAAAATAAAAATTAAAAAAAATTTTTTAAAAAGAAAAACACAGTAGTATTATTACAAATTACAAGTATAACTTTTGGTTTGGTCTAGTTTTAGCTACACAAAATTATACTTAGAGATAATACCATGAAATCACCAAGTAAATAAAGAATCACACATAGTTGTGCATGTTGTTACCTACAATATTACGTGTATAAGTAAAGGCTACTGAATTTCAACACACATATCAAAAAAACAATAAAATAAAATGACAGACTATATTTTACTATAAACTTTTTAAGAAGTAAAATTCAATAAGAAAAAATTAACCTGCTAACATTTTTTAAAATAAAAGTCAGAGAAACAAAAACAAGCCAACATAAGCAAATTAATCAAAAATAATCTTTTAGGATAAACTGTATGGTCAGCACACCACTGTTTACATCTATACTAGAAACAACACAACAAGGTTCATTTGTTTATAAGATCAAAGATTCAATTACATGGATTATATTAATCCTATTAAACCAATAAAGCATAGGAGCAAAATTCACAAAAATTTCAAACAATAAACATTGAAACTAAGTGCCTTAATGGCATGAGTATGTCATATGAATCTGGGTGTTCTAGAACATACCATGTTTGCATATAGTTAGTGTCCATTAATTGTGTGTAAAAAGAAAGAAAAGGGATATGTAATTAAACTTACCACCTCATTCCCTAAACATTCTGGCTGGTCAAAAATTTATTAAATATTACCATCTATGTAGATGTTCCACTTAAATAGTCCAGTAATTTTAACTTTTGGCTAGCTATATTTTGTATACGTACTAGCTATGCATTATATTTCTTTAGAAAATGGAATAACATGCACTTAGCATTGAGTATATGCTGAATATAATTTAAGTGTTCTCTGATAAATCACAAGCTACTTCACTACTCTGTAATATAACAAAATTCTTACATGAAAAGCAATTTATGTATTCAGCAATTTCAGTTAAAAATTAATTCATCACCCCCATGAATTCTCCAGATCTAATCCAACAGACTTATTGAAAAAAAGTAATAGAAATATGTAACATATTACCTAACTGAAATAAAGACTACAGAAGTAACCAAAATCTCCATTATTAAGAACCTAAGGCTTGAAACTGGGCCAAAAGGGATGAATGTTTTGCTTTACACAAGATATAAACTATGTTTCAACTCAGAAATTACTATTAAAAGAAATTCTCCGAAAGTAACTATTAAAACATCTGATATATTCTTCACAGATAGAGCCTATGATTTAAAAAGAGAAGGAAAGTATACTCATATAAATCTATACACTCATGTTATTTTAGCAGCTAGGAAATGGCAATGTATATCATGGGTCTGTAGAAAAAAATGGTAAGAGTATGCAAGGAAATGACCAGCTGCCTATCTTACTCACAAGCAGCTCAGAGTACACAAATATCACCATTTAAGTGCATCATCTATGCGACCAAGCTCAGATAATTACATTTAAAACATAGCATAGGAGAAAAAAAAATCACAAGTGTTACTCCATGAGAATGCTAAAAGTAGAAACTTAGCCACGCTTAATAGATCACACCTGTAATTCTAGCTCTCTGGAAGGCCGAGGCAGGAGGAATACTTTAGGCCAGGAATTCAGACTAGCCTAAGAACAAGACATTGTCTCTACAAAAAAATAGAAAAATTAGCCAGGTATGGTGGCACACATTTGTAGTCTCAGCTACTCATACTACTTGAGAGGCTGAAGCAGGAGAATCACTTAAGCCCAGGAATTTGAGGGTTTGGTGAGCTATAATGCTGTCACTGTACTCCAGCCTAACAAAAAAAAAACCAACCTAAAAAAAAAAAAAAAAAAAAGAATGCCAAAAGAAGTGAAAATCCTAAACTGGGTGGCATATCAACAGATCCACAAATCAACCATGTAGGTTATCATTCTGGGAAATGAGCTCTATTAATTGTCTTCACAAATAAATCTATGAATCATGAATATTATTATCCACACAAATAATACAGAGCCTATTTCTTGGTTTGAGTATTATTAATTAAAACCTTTTATTGAAATTATCTCACATGAAAGACAAAAGTCCAAAAAGATACCTTCTTCCCCACTTTTCTCTTTCCCAAGGTCAAGCAAGTCAATACACACCCCTTGCTCCTGACTATGTGTAAAAGAGAAGGAGATTAAAAGTTTTAAATCACAGGTTGCTATGAGCTATGAACCCACCATGGCACTCAACTCAGGGCAACAGAGAGACTTATCATAAATAAATAAAATTTTAAATCATGAGACTGACAATACACATTTTATAAAATTGTAGTGTTTAAAAAGAAAAATCCTTTTACAACAATAACAAAATATTTTCATTTCTTCCTAGTTTTTCTTCAGCTCACCTGATATGTTTTAGAACACAATCTACTCCAATAGGAAACAGAATTTTATGACTCACCTACTTTACCTATTATCAGTTTCTATCACCAAAAGCACACTCCCTAATGTAAACTGCCATTTTAAATAAGCCTTAAGAAAGGACTAGTCTTAGAATAAATATAGTAGGCGAGATTGAAAGTTTCTAAAAAAGAAGTTGGTAAGAAGTGGAGATTAAGGTATTATCAGCATATCATAAGAAAATGTTAAGCTTAAGACACAACAACAGCTATCAGAGCCCTTGGAATAAAGATCAGAATCTTCAACCTGGCCTACAAGGATCCACTTGCCCTTTCAAGTT